GGTTTTTAGAAGTACTTAAAAACTTTTAGTTAAACATGCTACATATTGTTACAGAAAGAAAGGCCTTGGCTTCCTTAGGTAATTAAAAACTTTTAGTTAAACATGCTACATATTGTTACAGAAAAGAAAGGCTTTGGCTTTCATAGGTACTTAAATACTTTTAGTTAAACATGCTACATATTGTTACAGAAAAGAATGACTTTGGCTTCCTTAGATACTTAAAAACTTTTAATTAAACATGCTACATAATGTTACAGAAAGACTTTGGCTTTCTTAGGTACTTAAAAACTTTTAGTTAAACATGCTACATATTGTTGCAGAAAAGAAAGGCTTTTGCTTTCATAGGTACTTAAATACTTTTAGTTAAGCATGCTACATACTGTTACAGAAAGGAAAGGCTTTGGTTACTATGAGTGCTGTATAACTATATATATATATAGTATGTTGTTACAGGGAGGAGAAGCTCTTGCTTCTATGGGTGTAGAAGAAGGTTTATCTTCTATCCTTGGGTATCGTATTGGAGTGTGTATTCCGAATTCGTGCTCCCTTCTCGACTTGAATGTTTTACTGAAAAATGGTAAGCTGACCAATAACATTATTATATGTAATAAAATAGTTTATTCTCTTTACTGTAATACGCTCAACTGCATAAATGTTTGTTCGCGTTTCGAATGTTGTACATATCATTGCGTGCAGACACTAAAATAAACTTGTCTACTTATTAGGACAATGTTTTTGGTTTTTCCATTCTTTAATTACACTAGACTTTTTCTGCAAACTCAGTTGATTGTAGGTTTCTGTCAGATATTGTAAGCCCGTTAATACATGTATGAAATAATTCTTCCCTTTGCTTTGTTTTACAGCGCTAGCACTTGTTCCCGTCGTCGAAGCAGCTGCAATTAAGTGCGAAGTAAACGATACTCCTCAACTGACAGCAGCACAGATATTAATTACGTAAGTCAAATTTCAATTGATAGTGATTTACTTTTTTGTAAAGGTAAAGAATTATTCCTAAAAAAGTGTAACTAAACCTAAAGCAATAGTTAATTAGAAAACTGTATATGATCCTGTCTAACTGAGTAAATGTAACGTTTGAACTAGCTATTATCTAGATATAAAGGTTATTCACGAATTTGCGTTAGTAATACGTAAAATTACTTAGACCGTAAATTGTTTTCTTTATTACTTTTGATTTGTCCATTGCGGGTTTCAAATAAGAGGTATGTAAATGTGACATGTCAGATATTCTTTTTTGTCTCTGAATGTCTAGCCCAGCTGACGAGTTCTGGTATTGAACGAAGGGTCCCTTGGGCAGTGACTTATGGTAGACCAAAGATGGATCTATAATGCTATTTGCATAAATCTCTTTTTCTTTCTTTATGTTTTTCAGGGTACTTTTTAGTCTTCTTCTTCTTCTTCTTGTTCTCGGTACCTTACTAGACATCCTATTGAATCAACAGAAAGAAACAGGGGACAATAATGATAATGCAACGCCAGTTTTGGATAGTAAGTAATTAGTGTAAATATCACATCTTCAGTTTCTTGCTTCTGCTGGTGAATAGTAATTGGAATAAGTTACATATAATTTATTCTTAATTTTATATAAAATAATATGTTAAGATTAAATCAGGATGGAAGCGTGAAATTATTTAATATTTTAAATAACATTTTAGTTCTCAAGGATACATATTGAAAGAAATTATTCGTTTTAACCATCATTTCTTCTGTTCAAGAAAGTCCGAGCCATTTGATTCAAACATAAGACTTAACCTTTAAAAGCAACTAGCAGAATCCAATTAATGATTAGAGTTTTTTAGAATATCGTAGACAAAGTTAAAGAAAATGTTTTTTTTTTGTAAAAATCTTCCTGTTTATGTTTTCTAGGTAAAGTATCGAAAGTTCTTCTTTGTTTTTCTGTGTATACAAATGGAAAGAAAATCTTGAATACAAAAACAACTTCTGAAACTATGGGGGCACTGCATGGAATCCGGTTTCTGAGTATGACATGGGTGTTACTTGGGCATACCTATGGTTTCCTCAATTTTCAGGCAATTGGTAAATCATATCATAGGATATATATATATAAACCACTTCTATTAGGCCATCTTATTTTTATACATGATTAAACAGTGTTATTGGTAAAGTTTACAGACCTTAAATTTTTAGATGTATCCGATTTCTTGTCTTATAAGTCACAGACAAAGATGAAATTGTAAAATTATTCTCTTTTAGAAAACATCGCGGATGCTGCAGAAATTACGAAGAATTTTGCTTTCCTTGTGGTGTCTAATGCTACAGTTTCGGTTGACACATTTTTTTTCTTGAGGTAAGACAAGTATGAGCACGCAGTAACATTATTCCGAAGGGGGAGGATACAGGATTTTGGAAAGGGAGGTCAAACTTTTGGACTAAAATACACGTTAATGATACTAAAATAAATATGTCATTATTCTTTTGATAATAATAAAGGATGTACCGGTCCATTTTTCTTTGATAGTTTAGAATAACTATTACTTATTTTAGAGCTTCACAGGCTACGAAAGAATATTTGTTTTCAATTTGTTTTGGACCCTCCTGTATCTGTCCTTGTTATATATGTCCAAATGACATACTTTAGTTACTTTTAGAAAACTTATGAAGAACAGGTATGACGTACGTGTGTTCCATTTATAAAATAACTTATTGCATCTCAAGTGGCAATGCCTAAAAAAATATAACGACACGTGGATCGTGTGATTTCTGTGATAGCCTGTAAATATGTATCTTTCCAATGAATATTGAACGTTTATCTATAGTAATCTTAGGTCATTAACGCTAATATGCTGACACGTATACTGTTAACGAATACAGTTTCAAGTCTGCAGATTATTTATATATATATATATATATATACCCTGTATAGAATACAAACACTCAAGTTGTGTGACATCGAAACAAGAGCTTAACGTTCAACTTTAGAAATTGTTATAACAATAGTCAATCAACATTAGACCAATCACATTGCATAACTCGTGGAAGGTAATTTAGATAACGAATCAATGAGGTTCTTTGTTGAGCATTTTCCAAGGCTTAGTAAAAACTTTTGTCTTGCCCATGAAGCCTAACTTATTTAACAATGGTTTGTTAACTTCTTTATAACTATTATTATTTTATGTTTCATTAACTGATTTTTCATTGTCTGGTATTAGCACACAACATTCAGTTTAGGAGATAATTTAGTTGTTTATAATAGTAAAATACTTTATGTAAATGACATGTTACTATCGTAATGATCAACATTTCGGCGATGAAAATTACTCAGTCAACTCACCCCAGTGGCTCAGTGGTAAGTATATAGGCTTATGATGCTAAAAATCGGGTTTCGATACCCGTGGTGGGCACACACAGGTAGTCCATTGAGCAGCTTTATGTTTAACAACAGAAAAAAAAATAAATGCTACATAAATAACTACATTTGATTTAAAGCTTTATAATTTACTGACCACGTTTCTTTTATATCCTTCTTTTTCGACATGGAAGATGTGCGGCCAACTGTTCTCTAGGATATGTGAACTTTGGCCTTTGACCTCCTGGAGCTTCAAATAAGATTTTGTGTAATTATAGGAAAAACATTTCGTAGGCTTACGAATATTGGTCATAATATCTCGATTGGATAAATGACCACACATATTTTGGATTATATTGTAAACATACCAAATTTCATATAAAAAAATATATCGTTGCAGGGTATAGAATTAACCTATAACTGCTATAACATTTCTGAAATGCAGATCTTATTCTGTTAAATAGCGCAAAGTTATGGATATTTTAAAATACACCAGGATAACCAAACACGTGTTTCTAATAATGAAACAGTAGGTATGGTTGTTCATAACTTCACTTGTATCTTTAACTTATACAAATTGGGGGTGACTGAAACCACAGCGAATAGCGTAGTTTTTCACAAAACACAAGTCAGTTAGGTTTCTGTGTTTAGTGACAGAGCTACAGCATATTTTTCTTATACTTTGATTTGTAAAATCATATTCATTTTAGGGGAAAGTGTATTTAGTTGTTTTAATGAAATATAGAAGTATAAGTTTATTTTCAATTAAGAAATTATTAAACTGTCTCTATAAAAAATTAACTTCAAGAAAATGATAATAAAATATTTCATTAATTAATCCAAATGAGCAAAATACTGTTTCACCCAAGAATCATCACATGCCCCCTGGTGGGACAGCGGTAAATTTACGGATTTACAACACTAAAATTTGGAGTTAGATTCCTCGCAGTGGACACGACAGGTAGCCTAATAATGTGGCTTTTCTCTAAAACAAACATCCAAGAATCCTCATCTTATAATCAACTCCAAATGTGTTTTGTAATGCTGTTTGTATTTGTCTTTGTGTGTTACTTAATTGTAGTTCTGTATTAATTGTATCCAAGTGCATTACTTAAATATATTTACTGCAATGAAGTAAGTTTGTTTCTGAATTTTCGCGCAAAGCTATACAAAATACTAAATGTACTTAGTCGTCCCTAATTTGCAACTGATAGACTAGAGGGGGCGCAGCTAGTCAACATCACCCACCCCGTTCAAATGTGGAGATGACTTCGTGTAGGAATAAAAAATAAACGAACATTCTAATTGTTTCCTTTTTTACTTCAGTATGAGCTGGACGTGGCCTAGTAAATAGTGTGCCTGAAATGTGAATCCGAGAGTTCATATTTCGCGCCCCATTGCTGAAAAATCGAGCTCCATCAGCTTGACGTCGGAGTATGCTATAAGACAGTCAAACCCCAACTATTTGGTCATATAAGAGTAGCCCAAGAGTTTTTTAGATATTCCACGTATACGTGTGAAATAAATTTCTTATTGAAATACAATTCTTGTTGCATACACGCTTCGTTAAGTCTATTTTCTGGGCCGGGCTTGTATAGTAACTAGTATGCAAGGGTATGTGAATCCTAGAATTCCCGGTTCGCTACCCGTTGTCGCAAAAATGCGCTCCGCACTTTGATGCTGTGGGTGCACTATAAGAGTGACGGTCAGAGTCTCTTACTTGATAAAAAAAAGAGAAATTAAAGAGTGGGCGGTGGGTGTTGTTGATTAGCTAGCTGCCTTCTCTCTACTATATGAGTTCCCCCCCTCCGGTACCTCAGCGGTAAGTCGGAGGGCTTATAACGCTAAAAATCGTAGTTCAGTATGAAAGATATCCATAATGCAGATAATCTATTATGTAGGTTTGTGTTTGAACACGACTATCCATTCAAAATTGTGTAGCTCTGAGTGAAATTCTCAAATAAACAAACAAGCTTCTCAATAAATCTAAGATGTTTGAACAATAGAAAAACTTAACAAAAGAGTGCTCTCTCTCTCTATATATATATATATTAGAAAATAAATAAAAATAAAGATTTCAGAATTAATGATGTTTTAATAACTTGGTGTCATGAAATCTTGGTATTAGTCTTGATATTGTGTGCTTATCTAATGATACTATGTTCTATTGAATCAAGCGGTTTTCTGGTAGCCTACGTTACTTTAAAGACGATGCAGAAGAACAACGGTCACTTGAGTTTACCCTTATATTACTTTCATCGATTTTGGAGGTAATGTTTCATTTGATTAAAATATTCTATAATTTTTATTTAGAAAATGCTATAGTTTCTGCTTGCATATTCTTTCTTTTTTTTGCGATAACGAGATGAACTGTTACTTAGAACGGTTTTAAGGAAAATTCCACAAATAGGTATAGATGCGAAAGAACTGAAGAGGTCGTAAATTTTATTTCAACGGAAAATGTAAGCCTGATACTAAATATGGATCGAACTGTCGCTAAAATACTTTTATTCACTAATATTCTTTTGTTTTGATGATTACGATTTTCAAAAGCTTGAGGGTTTATAATGCTAAAATTTGACTTTGTATCCCTGTGGTGGGCATAACAAAGATAGCCCGATATGCAACTTTGAGCTTAAAAGACAAAACACCATTCAAATTGGATTAAATTGCGTTAATTTATCATATTTTCTTCTTCTTTAGACCTTAATTCTATCTAGTTCCGGGGTCGGCCGCTCAGTTATTTTGTATTAATCAAAAATTTTTACAATCGGGTGTCTGGCCCTGACGGCAACCCTAAAGGGCAAGTATGTTTCGGGGACGGTGATTCGAGCCCGCCCCCCGCAGCGTGTGAGTCGAGCTTTCTACCCGCCAGGCCATACCAGGCCTCAGGTTAACTTATTATACATGAAGAGCTAATAGTAAATCGAAGAGCACGATGACTCTCTAATGTATTGATCAGTACTGTTCTATCTAACTCCTTTGTAGCACGATGACTCTCTAATGTATTGATCAGTACTGTACAATTTAACTCCTTTGAGCACGATGACTCTTCAATGTATTGATCAGTACTGTACAATCTAACTCCTTTGTAGCACGATGACTCTCCAATGTATTGATCAGTACTGTTCTATCTAACTCCTTTGTAGCAAGATGACTCTCCAATGTATTGATCAGTACTGTTCT